TTGAGCAATTGCTTGGATTTTTTTCAGTAGCCTCCTAAAAGCTGTCCCTGATTCATGCCCTAGCTTGGCACTCAAAATCTGCTGACCTTTCCAGTTTCATCTCTAGTCTTTGAACCCCTACTCACATTTATGTACACACATACATACCCCAAGCTCCAACTTTACTGAATTGTAGTTCCCCAACATGCCTTTTTTTCTTTTTATTGAAGTGTAGTTGATCCACAATCTGTGCCAATCTCTGCTGTGCACCACAGTGACTCAGTTTTATACACATAGATATGATTTTCTATATTCTTTTCCATGATGGTTTATCCCAGGAGATTGGATATAGTTGCCTGTGCTATACAGTAGGACCTTGCTGTTTATCCATTCTAAATGTAATAGTTTGCATCTACCAACCCCAGACTCCCAGTCCATCCCTCTCGGCAACCACAAGTCTGATCTCTATGTCAGTGAGTCTGTTTCTGTTCTGTAGATAGGTTCATTTGTGCCATATTTTACTTTCCACATGTAAGTGATATCATATGGCATTTGTCTTTCTGTTTCTGACTTCACTTAGTGTGATAATTACTTGCATCCATGTTGCTGCAAATGGCATTATTTCATTCTTTTTTTATGACTGAGTAGTATTCCATTGTATATATGTACCACAGCTTCTTTATCCATTCATCTGTTGATGGACATTTAGGTTGTTTCCATGTTTTGGCTATTGTGAACAGTGCTGCTAATGAACATAGGGGTGCATGTACCTTTTTGAATTATAGTTTTTCCTGGGTATGTGCCCAGGAGGGGATTGCTGAATCATATGGTAATTCTAATTTTAGTTTTCTGAAGAACCTCCATACTGTTCTCCAGCAGTACAACTTACATTCCCACCAACACTGTAGGAGGGTTCCCTTTTCTCCACACCCTCTACAGCATTTGTTATTTGTAGACTTTTTAATGATGGCCATTCTGACCGGTGTGAGGTAGTACCTCATTGTAGTTTTGATTTGCATTTCTCTAATAATTAGTGATGTTGAGCATCTTTCCATGTGCCTATTGGCCATCCATAAGTCTTCTTTGGAGAAATGTCTATTAAGGACTTCTGCCCATTTTTCAGTTGGGTTGTTTGCTTTTTTGTTGTTGAGTTGTATGAGCTGTTTGTATATTTGGGAGGTTAAGCCCTTGTCAGTTGCATCATTTGCAAATAATTTCTCCCATTCTGTAGGTGGTCTTTTCATTCTTTTTATGGTTTCCTTTGCTGTGCAAAAGCTTGTAAGTTTGATTAGGTCCCATTTGTTTATTTTTGTTTTTGTTTCTATTGCCTTGGGAGACTGACCTAAGAAAATATTGGTACGATTAGAGAATGTTTTGCCTATGCTCTCTTTTAGGAGTTCTGTGGTGTCATGTCTTATGTTTAAATCTTTAAGCCATTTTGAGTTTATTTTTGTGCATGGTGTGAGGGTGTGTTCTAACTTCATTTATTTACATGCAGCTGTCCAACTTTCCCAGTACCACTTGCTGAAGAGACTTTTTCCCATTTTATATTCTTGTCTCCTTTGTTGAAGATTAATTGACGATAGGTGTGTGGGTTTATTTCTGGGCTCTCTATTCTGTTCCACTGATCCATATGTGACAACATGCCATTTTTAATTCCTCCCCTTCTCTCTCTGTTCTTCCTTCCTTCCACCTGTGCTTGAATTAGCCTCAATCCCTGGCCTTACTGTAACCCACCCTCATAGTTTGGTGCTGGATGCACCCCCAGCTCAGAACTCTAAGCTTAAAAGCCATTCCCTGGACTTCCCTGGTGGCGCAGTGGTTAAGAATACGCCTGCCAATGCAGGGGTCACAGGTTCGATCCCTGGTCCAGGAAGATCCCACATGCTGCGGAGCAACTAAGCCCCTGCGCTGCAACTACTGAGCCTGCACTCTACTGAGCCCGGGAGCCACAACTACTGAGCCCGTGCACCACAACTGGTGAAGCCCACATGCTCTAGGGCCCACGGGCCACAACAACCGAACCTGCTTGCTGCAGTTACTGAAGCCCACACGCCTAGAGCCTATGCTCCACAGCAAGAGAAGCCACCACAACAAGAAGCCCGTGCACTGCAATATAGAGTAGCCCCTGCTCGCCACAACTAGAGAAAGCCCGCACACAGCAACAAAGACCCAACACAGCCAAAAAAAAAAGAAAAAGAAAAAAAAACAAAACCATTCCCAGGCATAGAGTTTCCATGATGTGTGTATACAGGTATATGCTTATGTGTGTGTGTCTGTATGTCTGTGTATGGCCAGAGTGCACAAGCACTTTTAGCAAGCACGTTATTCAACTGCCCCATTTAGCAAAGCTGAGCCCAGGATTAAATTCTGTGGTTTCTGAATTTTCAGGAGGTGACATGCTGCCTTTGGTATCAAATTTGATTAAACTTGATAAGTTTAATGCCATTTGGTTCTGTTGCAGAGGAAGAATTAAATTGCTTACTCTAGAGAATGAATTTTTTCCACTAAGGAAAAGAACATTTATTAAAATTATCTTGGTGGCTGAAAGGGGGAAATGTACTTCTTTTTCCTCAGCAGAAGCAGGTCCAAGGCATTATTAGCATGTGATAAAAATTGAATAATTGAGCAACACTGACTACTTTGGGATTCAAGTTTCCAGCCCCTGCTGTGTGATTAGTACAGTCCAACCTGCTGGCATACTTAAGCAGGGAGCCTGCAAAGGATTAGGAAGGAAAAACCCTTTAACAAATCTCAGGTACTGAAGACATTTGATTTAATTTTACATGTTACACATGCTAATCTGGTTTCCCTTGGCAACCTCCAGTTCCACCCTACTTTATAATCAGAGGATGGCAGGTAGATTACAGACTTGATGGCATCATCTGGAAGTGACCATAGGGAACAGAGTTTGCCTCAAAAGAGGAGAGAAAAAGGTCAATATAAAAGGACAGAAGAGTCTGAGTTCCCTTAAAAAAAGGACAGATAGTTCTCTATAGCTCAGATACCCATGAGGGTTTCATTGATGAGGGAGGTTCCAGAACTACTTATAGCAGAGCAGTTTGGGACGTGAGGGAAAGGGATCAAGCCTTTTAAGTCTTTAAAGGGATAATAATTTTATTACTTGTGAAATACAGATAAGGTTTTAATTCAAAAATGACAGTAATAGTTACCGTTTATTAAGTACATCCCAGGAATCTTACTTGGTTCTTTACATACATAATTTCATTAAATCCTTATAATATCTCTGCAAGGGGAGTATTAATATCCCTTTACAGATGAGGAAACAAGTATTTATTGATCTGTTAAAGTATGGAGGCTGAAGGAAGGTGGGGTAACATTGAATACAAGGTTTCAACTTTAGTCGATTTATTTATTTTTTATTATTTATTTATTTTTCTATGATCTCAAAGTCCTATAAGTCTTAATAGCCCCTGTTACAAAACAGTATACTAAGTAATGTCCATTAATGATGACCTTTAGCCATCCAGAAAAATTTAAATTACAATCATCTTAGTCTAACTCTCTTATTTTATACATTAGGAAACAGAGTGCCAGAAATCTGGTAAAGCCTAAAGCCAGGTCTTCTGACAACTCATAATTTGTGTATTACACCATGCCCATGCACTTTCAGAGAGAGCTTGAGTAAATGGAAGGCAAGAAGGAAGGGGTCTTGCAGCGCTATAAATGGTATTAGTTTGAGCTAGCAAAGTAAACAAACTAACAGATCGGAAGGTACTGATGAGACATTTAGGTACTGGGAACAGTTCTAGTTCTTACCTAGCTAGTGATTAATTTATTCTGCTTGGCTCATGTCTGAACAAAGTAATGCACATGATGTTTCCAAATGATCCTAAGTCTTTAGCAGTCTCTGGTGCCCCACCAGCCACTTGAAGTTTAAAAGGACAGGGTTCTACATATGAACAACAAAAGCTGTCTCTCTCTCTCTCTGTCTCTCTGTCTCTCTCTTTGTCTTTGTCTTTGTCTCCCTGTCTCTCTCTCCCTGTCCCTCTCTTTCTCCAGGTCTTGAAGTGGATATGACTGGCCATTTTTGTGACATGTAGAAGCAGAGACTACTTATGGCATTTTATTGACTTACACACGTATGCTTCTGTCATGTTCACAGAATGCTGTATATATGAGGCAGGCCATGTATTACCTTTCTTTAAGGTGAAAGCTATGGGAGTCTAATGGCAAACTGAGAAATCTTAGTGTCACACACTTACCATGCAAAGCATTTTATATGAATTTCACTTAATCCTCATAATGACCATGATTGTGAATGTTATTGTTTTCATTTTAGCAACTTTTTCAGTTTTTTATTAATCCTTCCCAGAACATTCTCCCTAGCATTTAATTATGAGAATTTTCAAAACTATATTAAAGTTGAAAGAATTGTACAGTGAACACCCATATACCCACCTAGATTCTATACTTGTTGCTATTTTTCTTTATTTGCTTTATTATATACCTATCAATTTATCCAGCCACCCATCTTAGTTTTTGTTGTATTTCAAAGTGAGTTATAGACATTAGCACATTTTACTCCTAAACACTTACATGTGGATATCATTAATTAGAGTTAAAAATGTTAGCTCTATTAAAAAAACAAAAACAAAAAACTGAGTCCTTCTTTGGAGACATAGTATGTAGTCCTCAATCACTTTGAGCTTTCCCCTATGAAATAGTAAGATATTTAAAAATATATATATATATATAAGCTACCCATACTAAAAAACACTTGTAACTCAATAATGAGAAATAGAAATCTGTGGGGAGGAGGGGGATACCACTGTTGAATTCGTAGGCCACAGCAAGCCAGCGCTACAAAGTGGCATCTTACCTCACTTCTGATTTTAAATGAGATTGAGGTCATTGCTGCATTTCTGAACACTGCCTCCTCTCCTGAAAAGGAGAGTTTGATTAGCAAATTACTTAAGCAGTTTACTAATGATATTGGAACCAAATTTCAATGAACATTTTTTCCCTTTTCTTTCTGGGTGTGACTAAATTGCCTACAGCATGCTGCATGGTTGCTGGTAAAACAGGAAATGGGGTAAGTAATTTAGGTAGGGAATTTTTACTACCCTTTAAATATAAGCTACCCGATTCTTAAAGTACTTTTACTACTACTATCTCTTTTTTTAGAGGGAGTTCACTAGCTGCTAGAGAAATTGGCACAAAGAGGAAATTTTTATTGTATATATTTAAGGTGTTAACCTTGTTTAATTGGTTTATTTGCACAGCATATTAGTAGTCTATTAAAGCAGACTCATTTTTTTTTTTTTTGGTAGATTTATAATGAATGTAAATGCATGTAGTTTGGCAACTTATTTTAAGGGAACACATTTTATACTGGTCTTAGAAACTAAATTATAAAACTAATTATGCTATAAAAGATACATAGTAAAGTCCTAGTTAAGGCAGAACAACAGTGAGTTTATACATAGATAAGACATAGAAAACATAGGTCCACAATCCTTTATCTGAAACCCTTGGTGCCAAATGTGTTTTGAAATTTATAATTTTTTAGACTTTGGAAATGTAATACAGTATAAATACCATATATAATATACCCATCTCCTCCAGGGTCTGGGATAGTACTATATAATCAAACATTAATATTTCTGCAGTGAAATATATGAATAGTCACAATAAATTTGATAAACAAAGTCTAAATAAATAGCCTCACATGTTCAAGTCAGAGTTTGGTTGCCAACTGAGTTAAGGAAAAAATCTTTAATTTCCCAGAGCTTTCTGGATTTTGAAATTAAAAATTTTATACCAGTATGAAAAGGACCATGTGACTACTGGAGTTTCCTGTGTACTCTGGAAAGAAAACCACAGAGAGAAGTATAAATTTCTGTATCAGAATCTCATACTTGGTGTTTTATAGGAAATTAGTTGATTTGGCTTTTTTGTGTGTGTTGTATTTCACATCTGCATTTTTAAAAGGGTAATAACCACATATTTATTAAAGGTTTGGGGGTTCTGTTAGGTTATGTTAAATTAGTCTCAAATGCTTGTGATTCTGGCATAATAAAATTTGATCCTATGTTTGAGAAATTTGTTAGCATAGTCGAGTCAGAGCATGCTATTTTTTAAATGTTTCCAGTTTCCATCTACCTTGCTTGCTGTTGTTATTTCTTATTGAAGGATTTTAAACTAAGCTTAGTTCTTCCAAAAGATCCTGATCAATGTAGGGATACTAGAACAGAAAAAAATATAGAATAGTAGTCTTTTCTCTCAGTGTCCCTAGTTCATCCTAATATCAAAAGGTTGTGGAGGAATTGCCGTTAAAGAATTGATTCAAGGAATTTAGGAAAAAATGTATTGGATATTTTGGTTCATGTTTGCTTTAGAATGGTTATTCTGTTGTATCTGTAGCAAAAGTGATCCTAATTAATATCCTTATCATTAGTTATCTAGCAGAGGAAAGAGAGAAATGCAGTTACTAAGTATTAAATTGGTACTGAATTTACCTTAATGACTACTGATTTGCCTAAAGGACCATCAGCCATAAGCTAAGGACCTTTGTGAAAACATTCACCCTAAATTATATTAGAAAAGCTATTAGCCACATTCAACTTGCAGGATTGAAAATATGGAGTTTTAAGTATTATATTTTTGCCTTAAATGTGAGGTTAAGGTTTCCAAAATGTCTCTTAACCCTTTCTTATAGCTCTTTAATCTGGAAGGAAAAAATTCCTGTTGAAGTTTTTAAACTGGATTAACGTGCTTTAAATGTTTTTCAGAGACATGAGGGACTTAAAGTATCGGTTTTCTTAAATATATAATAGTAATGTTTTAATCCATTTTTAGGATTGGCTTTGGCTACAATCCTTTGTACTCTCTAGAGTCTAAACAATTTTTAAAGGGTTTTCCATTCTTGTGTTTTGTTTCACCTTTTTATTCTTTAAAATGTGTGCTCATACCTTACTTATTTACTTTTCAACTGTGATTCTATTTTATGCAAACATTATTAGTTAAACTGTTGATACAATATCAAGATAGTCTGAAAATTTCTAAAATGTTTCTGATAGAGAACTAGGAACGGTTTATGAAGCTAAAAGGCTCAGTGTTTGAATAAGTTCTTAAGTGTAAGGAAGTAACTTAATTTTTTTGTCAGATGTAGGGCTTATCAGAGTATTTCATTGTTAAACCACAATCCCAAAGCATATGAAAGCATTCTGTTGAACCAGTTATTCTCAGCTGGATAAGAATGGGTAGATCAACTATTTCTTAATTTGCATTTTTTAGAGGGACAGTGGTCTTTGTGTGTGTGTGTGTGTGTGTGTGTGTATTTAGATCAATTAAGTTTAGCCATTAGCTAAATTATGTTTTGTTTTCTACCTGTAATTCGTAGTGTCTTTTGGTCTTGAGGAATTAAATTACAATGGATATTGACTATATTGTCCTTTCTAATAGTGAAAATAGGACATTGAAAGAAATGATTCACAAGTTGGCCTAAACACCTCTTTTGTTAAAAGCAGTCCTGTAAATAGCTATAGGACTGATTTGAAGTTTTAATTATTTGAATGATACGGCCTGTTTAATAGTGATATTGCAGAGTAGGACTGTTTGAATATTACCATACCATGTTTTTCTTTCCTTTTACTTCAGTTCCTTTCTATCTCATTTTAGGTTACAAACTAAAAGCTAGAACTCATAATTGGGACTTCCCCAAACCTATTTATTGGCTCATGAGTAGATTTTGGGGGAATGTAAAATGTTTATTGAGATATTTATATGTTGTTAAATTGATGAGCCTTCTAGAACACCGATACTTTAGGATTTGATACTTCTTCTTTACCAGTAAAGAGAAGTACAGCTTTTACATTGATTTCCCAAAAGTAAGCCCCCGTTATCAGGAAGAGAGTAGATACAAACATTTTTGGTCTGAGATTATTGTAATACACAGTTTGTAGTTTCTAAGCAATAAATAATCCTCTCTATTCCACCTTTCCATCTTCTGATGTATAAATCCTGGAATCTGGCAATTCTATCTCAGAAAAACCTCATTTGTCTGCTTTTGTCTTTGAAGCTTCAAAAACTGTCTTATATGCCATTAAAAAAAAGCAGTTTCTTGATTCTACTAGAATATAGGTCCATGAACTGAGGAATTTTTGTCTGCTTTGGTCTCTGCTTTCTATCTAATGTGTACAATAGTGCCTGGGACATAGTAGGCGCTCAATAATATATACTTTTTAATAATCACATAAATTCTTACTTTCATAAAAATGAAGCTTTTCATGTCAGTGAATTAATTTTTATGTTATTCAGAAAGCAGAGTCTGTCGCTGGAAAGAAATGATACAGTTCAGCTAAAAGAAGCCTACAAATGGATAACTCACCCCCTGTTTTCAGAGGAACTGGGTGTTCCCATTGATGGAAAGGTATTGGGTCATCAGCATTGTTAATTTTATTCTGTGGTTTTACTAGTTTTATTTCATTAAATGGCAGAGTTTTGGTTATCCAAAAGAATCTTCTCTTTCAATAATCCAATGAAGGATTTTTAAGATTTTAAAATGTTAATTTCTAACAGTCTTAAATTGAGGTTAAAGTTTTTCTTTGTTTCTTTTTTTTTAAAGATTTCTTTGTGATCCAAGACACTTATAACAGGTGCAGTGTATCGTAATTGACCTTAAAAGGTTAGAAGTGAATCTTTGCCTTTCGTATATTTATAGTTTAATTAGATAGATTTACTGATACAAAGCTAAACATAAATAACTAGGAACAAGTGTGGAGTCAACTCTAGACTATTTAATTTTGGTTATCTGTGGCTAATTTTGTTTTCAAATATGCAGACAGACCCTATTCAACTACAGTGAGCATGGGCTCAACCTATCCCACCTTGTTGGTATCTCAGGTCCCTCTGTTTAATTTTAAGCAGACGGCCTTTGAAACCAGAACACTTACCATCTCCCCTATTCCAAGGCAGACCTTGCCTCAGCCTTTGAAATGGATTGAATTTTAGGGAAGAGTTCAATAGGTTTCCAGACATGGAAACAGGACATATTCCCAGCTCCTCTTAAATTAGACTTTAATAGTATGGCCTCATTGCTTCATCATTTTGCATGAAGGAAATTCCCTGACTATCAGACACACCCCTATTGAAGTAAAGTCACAAAACCATCTTTCAAAACTAAGTAATTAAAAAATTTTCCTCGTTTTGAATTATATAGCTCTGTTTCCCTCTGTTAGTAAGAGTAAGCTCTGTCCTTTAAACTGAATACTAACAGAATAGAGAATAAAACCACTTCACCGATAGCATGAAGAGGAAATGAGGTGATGAAAGTACTTTGGAAATTAGAGAAGTCATTGATGCAAAATATTTTAACCTCAAATTTCAGTTTGAAGCACAGATAATTTTACATGTTGAATCAGTGAGAACAGAAAATAAAAAACAAAAGATGCGGTAATGTTCTAATGGATTCAGGATGAATGAAGTTTTCTTGAGTAAAAGGAATGTGTTGTAATTTTAATTTTATTTTGTAGATTAGACTAGAGCAAAAATTTAGCTATTCACTATTGTGATTATAGAGTCGCTAATAGGCCTGCTGACGATCCAATGCAATCAGTAAATATAGAACTCAATAAAAAAGGAAAAGTTGTTTTATGGTATGATATTTATATATTTTTCTCAGTGTGGAATTTTGTTTAATCTCCATGGAGGTAAATGTATATAGAGTATGAACTTGTGCTTTTTTGTGTACAAGGATGTTCATTGTGGCATTTTTTAAAAACAGAAAAACTTAACTACAACTTAAACATCCAACAGTCCCTAGAGTGGAAAAGATGTTCATGATGCAATATTAATTGAATTAAGCAATTTTCTAAGTCTGTTTAATATACAAAGAAGTATATACATTTATGTTTCTATTCATAAAAATGGCTACAAGGAAACATGCCAAACTGTTACTGGTTCTGCCTCAGTGGAATGGGATTGAAAACCCATCCTGTTTGATTATTTTATAATTTATTATGATCACTTTTTTAATAAAACAAAAAATTAAGATCTTGCTTTTTAAAAGTCAAATCCGTTAAGAAGTTTGAGCACTTAAAACAAGCCTCATACAGAGTTTTTAAGCATGTGCATAAAGTGCTATTTGCTTTGCTAATAATTCTAATCATAGTACTGACAGGAGTAATTCTTCATTTCTTTCAGTTATCCCTTTCCAATTCCCTGAATTCTCATTCATCTTCATACCTAATTGTACATTTATATATTTTTCTCAGTGTGGAATTTTGTATAATCTTATACAAAATTTATACATGTAGAAAAAAATATACTTGTACAAAAATGTATACATGTACAAAAAATCATACAAATTTATTTTAAAATTTGTTTTAAACTTGTTTTTGTAGGATCACTGATGATTGAGTTTTAGAAGTTAAAAAAAAAAAAGACGATTTCCTTTACAGCTGCCCTGTGAACAAGCTGATTTGAAAACAGTAGTATTTCCAGTTTTCCTTGTCACTCTTTTTCTGAGCCAATCTTTGAGAGTTAATTTCTGTTTCCATTCATAAGTTGTTAGATGTTAGTTTCCTTTTGCTCATCTTTAAACTGTCTTTATAATTTTTAGAGCTTGTTTGAAGTGAGTGTGGTCTTTGCTCACCCAGAAACAGTTGAGGATTGCCACTTCCTGTAAGTTACAATGTAAACAACAATGCCAATTGTGCAACATTGTTAATATTTTTTGATTTTCATGAAAATAGTATTGCTCTTCTTTCTAATGAGCCTGTCAGAACTTGTCATGTCTTAGTAGGTTGTGAGCTGTCTGACATAAGGGTCTAGGCAAACCAATGCAGCTCATATAGGGATTCATTTTGTCTGCTTCTGATATCCTGAATTTAGCAGCCATGTTGTATAAAATATATTTGAATTTTATACTCCCCAAAATAAACTCATTAATCCTTTATATTACCTTGAATTTTACTTAGACGTGCGATATGCCCAGATTGTTTCAAGCCAGCCAAAAACAAACAGGTAAGGATTCCTGCTTCTTACTCTTTAGTGAGTTTTGTCTGAGCTGAATATTCAAATTAACAACAAAAAGATATGCATTAGAAATGTTGGCAGTCTATTATACTAAGAATCAGTCTTTAAATATTTCCATTTATTACATTTATTTCCGTTTTTTCAATTCTCAACACCTTTGCCTTTGGCTGGGAAGTCGTAACACACAAATGTTCTCATGCTTGTGTCAGTGTCTGGATTGTTTCCCCAAGATTATGTCATCTGGGAAAATACCTGTTCAGTATCATCACCGTTCCAAACTTTTGTCTAATATTTATTTTCTAGAAATCGGTATTTTGAAAATATAATCCAAAGTAAATTATTTTATTTAGAACAGTCCTGAATTAATAGAGCCTATTTCAGGCTACATTTGCCAAAAGGTATTTTATTTAAACTCTCCTTTACTGTCTGATGTGAGCTGGTCTTCATGTTAATGAGAAAAATTAGTTAGCATGTACTTTTAGTTTCTATTATGCCAGGATAGAATAGCATGGCACGATATTGGCAAGCTTTCACACCCCAGTTACTTAGCTGATTTTGTGTAGACTCAGGCATTCCTAGTTTTACCGACATCCATTTTGCTGTTGTGGTTGTTAAAAAGAATATAAGTTTATTGCCAAAGATACATCTTTTGGTCTTTCCTCTTGCCTGGGGTGGGAGGGGAGGGTTGGGGAGTTTGTAACATTTGCCAAATACCCGGTGTGGAAATAATCAGAAATGCAGGAAGCCTGAAACACTGCTTGCCTCCTTTTCTCACATTATGGTATACCTAGAACATTACCATGTTTGGCCAGCACCCTGAGGTTAACAGATGAAGTTGCTCTAAGTTGTAAGCAATAGGCCTGGGGGTTCTCATTGTTCCAGGCCCTGCCCCTCAGCCCTTGTGAACTAGAGGGATCTGGGCACAACTGTAGCCCAGTGGTATGCTTTGCCATACCAATTGGGAAGCTCTGCCCAAATGAGCTGTAAGCCATAATTATATTAAAGATCTAGTTTTATTTTTTGTTATCTTTGAGGAAGTATATAAGTACCAGCATCAAATAATAGAGTAAGGAAGTTTTTGTCAAACGATCATGGACACCACGCCATTTGGCCAGTAGGTGTTGTATAGTCTTAAATGTAGTTTTCCTGCCTTATGTCTGGGAATAATTTGAATGACCTTTTGAGATTCTTTCAGGCCTAAGATTTCATATCTTAACAAACGGGCACTTAATTTTTAATTCTAACCCTACGACACCTTAGGGTTCCCCAGAATATGGTTTAGAAAATCATTTTTTTGATGATAAACTGTTTAGATACCTACATTATTCTTCTTTTCAGTCAAGTATAATTTCTCATAACAGAAGAAATAATTGTGATTTATCATAGTGACCACAAATATATGCACTAATTAGTTCTAGTATGTCTACCATGAGGTTTGGCTTTTCTTATTTTAAAAAACCCAGAGTGGGACATTTGTAGATGCCCTTTTATTCAGTATAGTGGATTCATTTACTTTCTCAGAGGTTGGTGAGTGATATTGAATTGCTAGATGCCAAGTCAGGCTGGTTGGCTCTGTTTTACCCCTTACTCTGGCAGCCAACTCCTAAACTATATACCGTGGCCCCTGAAGGGATGTAGGGAAGAAAAGATAGATGGGTCAGTCTAAATTTCTTTTGAGGTCTAGGAAAAAAATATTCAAAGCACATTTCCTTCAATGTCATCATTTTTGTATTTGAAGAATACCACATTTTGAGGGGAATGGGAGAGTGCAGTGAAGTAGACATTCTGCTAGATCCATCTGGTATTATAGACATAGACTAGATTGAAGAGAAGGGTTATAGGTTCTACCAATCACAGAACTGACAGTATGAACACTTGTGCTTCATTTATTTTCTTGAAGTTATTAAGTATTTCTCCCTTTTAAGTATGGTTTAAAATGATGTAATTTCTCCAGCCATGTTCTTTGTTTCAACTCTGATGTTTTCTTATATAGGTGATAAAATGTCTTTTCTTTTCATTTTACCCTATATAGTCAGTATTCACTAGAATGGCAGTTATGAAAGCTTTGAATAAGATTAAAGAAGAGGATTTCCGCAAGTAAGTAGAATTATAGAAACAAGAAATAATCATGGAATTTTAGAATAAAGGGAATGTTAGAAATAATCTGGATTATCTCTAAAACAAGACTGGATATATTTTAGGGAACAGGATTGTGTCTTAATCTTTATTATATCCCCAATCCCTGGCTCAGTATCTGGCATGTAATGGTGTTCAGTAAATGTCAAATTAATATTTGAATTTATGAATCATGTCCAACTTCTTTATCTTTTAGACGAGGATATTGAGGTCCAAAGAGGGAGTTGACTTGCCTAAGATTTCAAATGGGCAATAGAGAGTGGACATAGAGCCAGGTTTCCTGATTCTCCAGCCTATTACTGGTCCCATTACATCCCTCGTCCTGGATTTCCTGTTATTGTACATCTCCAGAAGAGGGAGAAAAGGGCTCCTGAGTTTCCTTTCTTGTTAAAATATACTGAACTGCAGTAAATATTAGATGTAATTCTCAGTGTGTTCATTTTATTTAATAAAATATTATCATAGTTATCCTTCCAGAAGAAGTTATGACGAAGGTTTCATATATTTCTCTGACTAAACAAGAGTCTCAGAATGGAAATATTTTTATTTAAAAAAAATTTTTTTTTTGGCCATGCTGCATGGCTTGTGGGATCTTAGTTCCCCGAACAGGGATTGAACCTGTGCCCCTTGCAGTTGAAGCACAGAGTCCTAACCACTGGACTGCCAGGGAATTCCCTATTAAACTTTAGGAAGTAAAGACAGTTACTCTCTACAAGCAATAGTTCCTAAGTTCCTAAGTGCTTTCTTTGTTAAGACATCTTGGGAAACGGAATGAAAACTTTAAGACAAGCATTTTGGATTAAGTCCACATCTAGTCATTTACAGGTAGATTCCATTCCATGGCTTTGGAATTTCTCAGATGGTGGACAGAGAATAAAGCCATACATTGCTCTTTCTGGTCTGTCCTCAGCTGGATTGAAGTTTCTTAGCTAAAGGACAGAGTCTGCCATATTCCACTTTTTCTGGCTCTGTGGTCTGATTCCCAAGGTCATAGTTGAAATGAAGAGGAAAAAGAGAGAAAAATGTTGGAGTACTCTCCCCACAGGTGGGACATGCTCATGTGGCCAGTCTCTGGCTGCATACCAGCTTTACCCAAATGACTGAGGACCTTGTCAGCCAGCAGCAAGTGTTCATGGATAGCAAAATGAACCTGGAGAGGTTTCCACTACATATAGATGGATTTTTTCCCCCAAATCTCCAGGTTGATTTTGGAAACTGTCATTTGGGAACATGAGGCCTCCTGAGCATGAATGTTATTAGCGAGCCCTTATTTACTTAGTGCCACTCTCATGTATTAAAAGTGGTACTCCAGAGGCCTAAGAGACCCTTATGGTTCCAAAACTTAAAATTAGGGAGAGGCTTAGTCCTTGAGAGACTCAGGCTCTGTGTAACTCAGACAGTGCTGATTCATCTTAGTTATGTGTTTCAATATCATGTCTGGAAAATAGTAGCTGTAAAATTTATTTTGTTTTGCAGGCAGTTTCCTTGTCCTCCAAACTCACCAAAGGCTGTATGCAGTGTTGTTGAAATTGAATGTGCTCATGGTGCTGTTTTTGTGGCTGGTAAAATATTTAGTCCAGGATATACTTATCTTGTCAATTTTCTCTCCTTTCTGAAAAACTCAACTAACTCCTCTGTTTCCTTCTTACTGTTGTTATTAATTTCTGATTAGTTAACTCTTTTGAGAACTAGAGCTGATAACCAAGTTTATTGTAGGTTCTGTAGGCATTCTTAAGGGTCACTCAGGAGATTTGTTATTTAAAATGCCATGTTGAAGGGAAATGATACTTCCCAGGTTTTAATAGTTTTCATCAGAGATGGCCAAGTAAGAATATGGGTACATGTACAGACCTGAAACTGGTCAGGAGAAGGGAGAGGATGTTTTATAACATGAGATCAACCCTGAAAAAAGTTATTTTATTATCTGCAAAATGACTAAACATTTGGCTTCTGCCTGGAAAAAGAAATTGTTGCATTGACTTTCCCAAGAGGTAAATCGGGTAGACAGTTTTTGTTTTGAAAGCTACAGCTGTTTCATAGTAATAGCTGAAATGAAATTGCTCTTTAGTCTTGACTATAATACCCTGCCCTGGGGTAATAAAAGCTACCTGCCTTGGAGTAGCTTTTTTCATAAAACAGTGAGTCATATTCTATTAGGGTTTTTTTTTTCTTACAAAAACTTCAAAATTTCCTGTATTTGAATTCTTTGGAATACATTATCACCAATGACTATTACACTGAGAGCATTATTAACCAGGCATAAAAACAGTAGTTGCTCTTTTTTTAAGGGATTCATAGTGTGTTCCATAATATTGTAACTTGTTCAGTCAGTCAAAAAGATTAATAAGTATATTGAGCATTCCTTTAGAACTCATTTGATGATTCATACCGTGTCTTTAGCCATCTCTTCTATTGCTACCTTAAATTTTTTCATTTAATTATGTGTATGTGTTGACTCTCCAAATTAGATTGTAAGTTAGTTGAAGGCTAAGCCTTGTTTTATATCATAGCACCTAGGATACTGGCATTCAATAAATAGCTGTTGCTTTCCTTTTTATCCTATTGTGTTAAGCACACCATTCCATCCAGGTGACCTTTATATTTCTTTGGCAGGGAGATATAATAAATACTCCAGGAATCTACCACAAACTCCTTGGATAATTGATGGAGAAAGGAAGCTGGACTCTTCAGTGGAAGAATTAATTTCAGACCATCTTTTGACAGTGTTCAAAGCAGAGAGTAAGTGTTATAATATTCATATTTTAGTTACATTGTCATTCATGAATAGACTTCTTGGAGGTGGCAGGAAAGATTTCTGTATTTTGTAAACCACCACCAAGTCTGGGCCCCTTGGCTGGCAGCTTCCTGTGAACAGGGACCGCTGTGTCCTGAGCTCCTCTGCCCTGGGCTGAATTTGAGCCAAGGTGCCCTAGGATTTCTCTCCTCTCTCAAGATTACACTTTTTCCTGGGCAAATTCAAAACAGTTGAAACTACTTTAAATGAATGCACTTAATCTCTGACCTTGGGACATCTTGAGCCTCTGCCTCTTTTTGGAAATATGAGGTAATTAAAATACAACTTCCACATCCAGTGCTGTTCAAGAATAATCACTGGCAAATGCCCAGCTTCCATCTTAACGGCTAAAGTGTCCTAGAATAAAGTTCAGGCCTAGAGAAAATAGATCAATAGCTACCATTTTACAAAGATTTAATAGTAGTTGTGTTGTTTTAATTTCCTAAGTATTAATGAGCCCAGGTTTGTGGGGTGAGTCAGATCCTGTCAGGCATATGCTTTCTTTGCTCAATAGGGCTATCAGGTCAAAGGAGTAAAAAACCTTGTGATTTCACCTAGGATTAGACTAGAGGAAAGGGACTAAGATTTCAATCACAAGAAACCATGTTGTACATCAGGAGAAACTGTAGACAATGAGTAAGTATATCATACTCTTTGGAGTGGGTCTCCTAGCATAATTAGAACACCTTTTTAAAAAATATTTATTTATTTATTTGGTTATGCCGGGTCTTAGTTGTGGCAGGCAGGCTCCTTAGTTGTGGCATGTGGCCTCCTTAGTTGCGTCAGGCAGTCTCCTTAGTTGTGGCATGTGAACTGTTAGTTGTGGCAGGCATGTGGGATCTAATTCCCTGACCAGGTATTGAACCCGAGGCCCTGCATTGGGAGCATGGAGTCTTAACCACTGCTCCACCAGGGAAGTCCCAGAACACCTTTTTTGAAGGACCAGATAGACCAAGACATCCATCTTTTTCTCTGACAAACCTTAAGACAAGCCTGCTTTAGGAATGGCGAGCAGGTGACCAAAATGAGACTGGCTATCCCTTCCAGCTCTCTGCCTGTTAAGAGGAAAGAGAAGCACTTCAAAAACCATATCCCTCTTATAATTTGTTGCCTATCAGGTAGGTGGGCCCTTTTAAAAAGGGCCTTTAAGAATTGTTTACTGAATGGAGAAGAAAGTAACCTAGCAACCTAATATTTTTCAAAATCTTAGCTGTAAAGGGCTATTGCCACGAGCTTTTACCTACTTGACTTAATATTTACACGCTGGTTATCTCCTAAGACTTATCCAAGTTACAAAGAAGTGAAAATAAAGCGTTAGCATGAAAAGTGTCCTTCAGACTCTTTTTGGGGGGCTACCTTATTCCCTTTCTGTAAGAAGATTCAAGATTTAGTTCTGATTATTTGGGTCCCAAGGAAGCCTCCATTGCCAAGAGGGCTGTTGGGGGGCTCTGAAATAGCTATATGTTTCCCCCTTGAAATCTTTCATGAAGGTGATTTGTTGTCATTTTCCATTTGAGGAGGGAAAAAAAATTTCTCCAAACTGAAAATAAAGCAAACTGTGTGTTTAGCATCTGTAATTTTGTGCTGAGGAAATTTATTAAGAGCCGCTTGAGAAAAAGCAGACCTCTGGGCCTCTGTGCTAACTGGCTCCTTGTCATGAAATAAAACCTTGTTGTTCGAAATGGGGCTTCCCTGGTGGCGCAGTGGTTGAGAGGCCGCCTGCCGATGCAGGGGACACGGGTTCGTGCCCCGGTCCGGGAAGATCCCACATGCTGCGGAGCAACTGCGCCCGTGAGCCATGGCCGCTGAGCCCTGTGCATCCAGAGCCTGTGCTCCGCAACGGGAGAGGTCACAACATTGAGACGCCCACGTACCGCAAAAAACAAAAACAAACAAAAAAAACCTTGTTGTTCGAAATGCCTGATTAATAGCATCGATTTGCTAAACTTGTGCTTCTCAGATACATTACTCGTTACTTCTGTGATTCACATCTGACAGCTCCGGGAAAATGGTTCTGACTGTTGTACCTCTGTGCTTTACAGCTCTATGAAAATAAACCAGTATTGCATGAAGCAGCCTAGCTACTTCTATAAAGCAGAAGTAACTAGTACTCCTTCCCCTCAGTGGGAGATACAAACTTGTTTCTCAGCCACCTCAGACTGACACATCATATTCTCTACTTGCCAGTTCTCTAGTTAATAAGTAAAACTTTGACACACTCTCAAAATCAATATGTCTAAGAAATGTTTTCCTAATACATTTATTACTTCACTTATGGAATAAATATTTGTCATGTCAGTTCCCTGCTGAAAACTGGTCAGTGACTAGCTACAGGGTAAAGTCCAAACTTATATAACTTGATATTCTGAGACCGTCATCATCTGGCCTCTGCCCATCCTTCAGTCCCATTGTCTATCTGCCCCCAGGTATGAGAGCCACTACAGACTATCGAACCCCTTACAGTTCCTGATCATTCTTGCCCTTGGTTTTGTCCTTGTTGTTCGTTTGTTTGTATGTTTGAGCAGAAGTCTGTAGAACTCACAGGATTAGGGGGATAAGGCAAGGCGTAATGTGAGTTTAGAAGAATCAACTAAATTTTAAGCATATATTTCCTCATACTTAAGGCAGTGACTCCTTTTCCTTTTTTTGTCATTTATTATTCATAATTGCAAATTATTTTTTAAAGCTTGCCCCCTGAAGTATTTCTCAATGTAGGGTCCAAATTTGCAACATTTTTCTAAAAGATATAATAAATACCCCTTCTCCCTTAATCTGGATTTAATGTTTCTTTGGACTTCTCAAGAGCCTAGTTTTCTGTACTTTTTTCTTGTTGATGGGCTGGAATTTGTGGGAAGTTTTATGGGCTAATTTATGAATTTGAGATTTCTGGTCTGATTGAGTAGTCACTAGTAGATCTACCTCTTTGTGTCCTGTTCATTCCCTCCACCCCTATCAGTCACAGGTTATGGCTTAGTCACTGTAGGGCCCTGGTTCCCCAGTATTATGCCTGGATTAGAGATGGGGGTGGGCAGGTATAAGACAAACTACAGCCCCCCACCCCCACCCCAGGGAGTGTCTTTCAGCTTCCCAGATGCCATTTTGAGCTCTCCATGTAGCTCTCCATCCCTAGTTAGCACTACTCTTGAGTCTGTTGACTCTGACTAGAAGCTGCTGATGTTGCTATAGGTTTATTAGCTGCTTGACAATGGAGTATAGACATGGAATGGAGGGTTCTTTGGGACTTAATGGTCCGCAGAATCCTACTACCTGCCTGGTATAGATTCTCCCCCTGGAGAAGAGCCTGACATTGTGCCCCTCATGGCTGCCTGCTTGGCTAGTCCCAAGGTGTTAACACTGCACAGGTTACCCAGACCTCTGAGCAGCTTGAATTCTAGGCCGACCTTAGATACCTAGGCCTTACCTAACCAGTCCTGGGTTGGTCCTCTCTGGGAGACCCACAGTTTTGGGCCATGTGGGGCAGAGAAGAGCCCACTTCACCTTGGCAGTGGGTGACAGAGAACAGCTTGGAGCCCATGTTTCCAACAAGTGTTGGCCTTGACTTGCTAAAGGGATGTCTTAAAGGTGAAGGAAGGGTGAAATCTTACTTTCTTCACAGCTAAACATCCTAGAAAGGAGAGCTAATCTTCAGTGTAGTTTTTATAGCACTTTTCAAGCCTTTTAGCCTTCCTTTTCCTAAAATCTACATGGGACCTTTGCATATTGAACCTTTCCTGGGAGAAAAATGTCTGTCAAAATGGTACAGACCCTCCTTCCCTTCTACCTTTCCTGTCTGTCCTTCCCAGCAATCTTGTCCTTCCTCATCTTGTGCTCTCCAAAGTGGCTGAACTATGGATTGACCAGGGTTTCCAAAACATCCTAGTCTTTCCCAATCCCTGGTACAAGAGGACTGATTGGTCTTGCTTGTCCCAGTTGGCATGAGTCTGAGCTCTTCCAGCTGTCTTTGTGGTGGTGCAGTGTAGACAGTGATTAAGAGACTCTGGAACCAGACTGCCAGGCTGGTTCAAATCCTGACCCTACCAATTACCAGTGATGTGATCCTAGGCACGTTACTTCTGCTGTCTCTGTCTCACCTTCCTTAGAAGTAAAATGGGGATAATGATAGTATCTACCTCATAGTGTTAACATATATGAAGTACTTAGAATAATGCCTGCTCATGGTAATCTTTCCTGTGGTGAAATCATCAGTTATTTCTGTATCTGAGGAAGTTGTCATGGAACCACTTCCCCTGCCCACCCACACTGTATTGACCACTTTCCCATTCCAATATTTGCAGCTTTTAGTCTGTGATGATCCATCTATCTTAAAATGTATATTAGTTATATTGTGGTTCCAGCTTAGGTTTGCTTACATAATGAATTTCCTTTTAGAATCAAACCTTTTTTTTCCCTCCTCTTCCTTTCATAGAGTTTAATTCTCAAATAATGTTTTTATTTTGTTTTCTTTTGTTTTAAGGAAAAGACGAAAGATAGATTTTTCACCATAAGTTTGTAGCCAGGGTGGTAGTGGGGCCTTCCTCCAAACTGTGCTCTCCCTTTGGCTTTCCCATGGGATGGTGGGCTGGGATGATAAGTAAGGTCTGGCTTTGACATCAGAAACATCTAGCTCTGCCATTTAATCATGTTCCCTTGGGAAAAGTACTTAACCTTTCAGAAGCTTGGTGTTCTTTTATTTAATACCTACCTCATAAGGTTATAATAAGGATTGAATGAAATAATGTATGCAGAATTTTAGCTCAGTACCTGGTATGTAATAAGTGCTCAATAAGTGGTATTTATTATTATCATTGCTATTTTTAGTAGAGATTGGGATTAGAGGTGTGATGATGACTATTCCTTGGGATTCTCTTGTAGATTGTTTAAGACAAATTGGGTTTTTACCAAAGGATGGGAATGAAAGTCTTAGCACTGTTATGTCTCTGATTTTTTTTTTCTTTATCTGCTTTCCAAAGGCTTTAATTTTTCATCCTCTGGGAGAGAAGATGTAGATGTGAGAACATTAGGAAATGGTAAGATTGTTACAATATCACTTGACTGGAACTAACTTTCAGATTATCACCCTTTTCAGACAGCAGCTTTTTTGTAGTCACTTAGTCAGAATCAAAGTTGGCAGAGCCCAGAGCTTCTCCATGTGAGGAAGCCTTGTGGGTTATGGAGCTACCCTTGTAAATTATATGACTATGTTTTAACAGGGATCATTTCTTCAGAGGCCATCTTTATTGAATACCTGTAGGTTATAAGGGACTTCTATGTGCATTAACAAAGAGGCGCCTGATTTTTTCCAAAACTTTGATAATTAATTGTTCCTTTTAATAACATTTCAGTACCAGTACAATTTTCAAAATGCACCTCATTTAAATTGCAAAATGTCTTCATTTAAAAAGTGCTTCTGCTCTCTTAGCCTTCATTTCTCTCATTTTACATTGTTGCATTACAAGAAGGATGATGAGAGTAATCCTGAGGTATTCGAGATTTATAGTCCCTTCTTCTCATGGAATCTCAGCTTTTCATTTCACTAGGCTAGGACAATGTATTTCAATTTGGTATACCTGGGCATTGCTGCATGTGACATTACGTTAGTGTAACCAAGTCAATTAGTGGCTGTTTGGATTTGATTTTGTAATTAACACAGGCTTGTTCATGGACTTTTGGGAAAGCAGTGGTTTTTACATATTGCCTGTCCTGGGGTTTAGCAGCCCCCAAAAAGCCCCTTGATTCTTTTCACACATTCTTCTCTCCCCCAGATGTAGTCATGTCACTAAACTTTCAGTCCTCTAGAGCTCAACTCGTTTTTTCACACCTCCTAACCCTCTTGCATTAGCCCAAATGTTAACTCCATCAACACGTTTCTGTTTCATGACGGGGTGTGTGCTGCCAGGAAGGCCCTTTGCAATTGAGCTGGTGAATCCTCATAGAGTACATTTCACTTCACAAGAAATTAAGGAACTTCAGCAGGTAAACCACTTCATGACATGGAAATTGTCATGTTTCTGCAACTCTGTAACTGAACTAGAGTTGCTAATTGTTTTTCTTTCTCTAATACTACAGAAAATTAATAACTCGTCTAACAAAATCCAAGTCCGTGACTTGCAGCTTGTTACAAGGTAAGGGTAGGATCACTGGAGATGTTTTCAAGAGGGGAGTTTTGGTTGTAGATCATTTATCTGATAAGGAATTTGTATCCAGAATATGTAAAGAACTCCTACAACTCAAAAATAAGAAAATAACTCAATTAAAAATGGAGAGATGATTAAGTGAACATTTCTCCAAAAAGGATACACAAAATAACCAGTGAATACATGAAAAAATGCTCAACATCATTAGTCATTAGAGAAATGCAAATCAAAACCACAGTGAGATCCCACTTCACAAAAAGACAGAAAATAACAAGTGTTGGCAAGGATATGGAGAAATTGGATCCCTCATACATTGCTGTGGGATTATAAGTGGTGCCACTTTGCAAAACAGTTTGGCAGTTTCTCAAAAAGTTAAATATAGAGTAACCATATGGCCCAGCAGTTCCACTTCTAGATATATACCCACAAGAAATGGAAATGTACATCCACACAGAGACTTCGGCATGAATGTTTATAGTAGCATTACTCATAATAGCAAAAAAGTAGAAACAACCCAAATGTCTATGGATGAACAAAATGTGAATGTGGTATATCCATACAATGGAATATCATTTAGTAATAAAAAGGGATGAAGTACAGATACATGCTACAACATGGATGAACCTTGAAAACATTATAAAGTGAAAGAAGCCAGACATCAAATACCACTTATTGTATATTTTACAATATTCACATTTTAATATATGAAATGTTCAGAGAAGGAAAATCTATAGAGACAGAAAGTCAACAAGTGGTTGCCAAGGGCTGGGGGAAATGAGGAATGAGAAGTGATTGCAAATAGGTGCGGAGTTTCTCTTCTGGGGTGATGAAAGTGTTCTAAAGTTAGCTTGTGGTAATAGCTGCACAGCTCTGTAAACGTACTAAAAATCACTGAATCGTTCAGTTACACAGGGGAATTGTATGTAAATTATATCTCAATAAATCTATTTTTAAAGAAAGGGAAGTTTGGGGCAAGTCTTGTCTGTATTTTATATATTCAGACAAACTTTCTTTTATTGCTTTTGTTTAGAGAGGCAATAGGTCATATGAAAGAAGGTGAAGAAGAAAAGACCAAGACCTATAGTGCCTTAATATGGACAAATAAAGCAATACAGAGGAAGGACATTGAATTCCTAGATGACATAAAGGTAGTTCAGTGCTCTAATTCTTTTATTTTTCTACTGCCTATAAAAGAGTCCTTTGTCTTCTCGTTTATTACCAACAAGTCATAGCACATAGGCTTTGGGGACTGTGAGACCTGGTTCTAAATCTTGCCTTTGCCATTTACTAGTTAAATGACTGGGCAATTCATCTAACCTGTGAGAAGCAGTGTTGCTAGTGATTAAGAGTCTGACTCCAAGGACAGATCGTCTGGGTGCAAATCCTGGTTCTGCATTTCTTAGTTGTGTGACTTTGGACAAGTTGCTTAGCCTCTTTATGCTTCAGATTCTTCATCTGTAAAATTAGTTAGAAGAATTAAACGGGGTTAGTCATATAAAGCTCTTAGAATAGAATCTGGCACATAGAAAACACTCAGCAATGCTGTTATTATATTTGGCCACTTGCAAAAAGGAAATAGAAAATAGAACTTATCTAATAGAATTGATGCTCAGATTAAGTGCATAAATAAAACATATTGTAAATAGGGCTTCCCTGGTGGCACAGTGGTTGAGGGCCCGCCTGCCGATGCAGGGGACACGAGTTCGTGACCCGGTCCGGGGGGATCCCACATGCCGTGGAGCGGCTGGGCCCGTGAGCCATGGCCGCTGAGCCTGCGCATCCGGAGCCTGTGCTCTGCAACGGGAGAGGCCGCAACGGTGAGAGGCCCGCGTACCGCAAAAAAAAAAAAAAAGAGCAACTCCAAGTGGCCAAGAATCATTTGAAAAGATGTTCCACCTCCAGATTGAAGTAACAATAAGACATCACTTTATTCTTCTGAGACTAAGAATACCTGTTGGTTGGAGGGAGGAGAAGGCTAGTTATATACATTTTCAGTAGAAATGTAAGTGTTTCAGCCTTTTTGGAGAACAATGTGGCAGTGACTGTAAAAATAAAAAATAGACTGGTCTTCTACCCAGTACTTCCACTACTGGCAGGACAAGAAATAAAACTCCAGTGCATAAGGATATGTGCACAAGGATGTTTGTTGACTTTGTTCAGAGTGACAAAATCAACAACAAAACTGGAAACAAAAGTGAATTTCCTTCAATAAGGAAATGGTAGAACACGTTGGAATATTATACAGCTGTTTAAAAAAACTAAAACAGCATGTGATCCCATTTAATTTACGTTATTGTGTGTATATTTGCCTAAAACTGTTGGAAAAAAAGATAGAGGTAGGTCTACATCTAGGACTTGTAGGAACACCCATGATATTACTGGAAAAAAGCAAGGTGCAGAATAATGTTTATAGTATGAGTGTTTTGGTGAAAACGTACATGTCATTCACCTGCTTAGAGAAGTTAACCTATAAAATGAGGGGTGGACTAGATGATCCCCAGTGGGCCCTCCACTTCTCAGGTTCTGTGATTCCAAATCTAAGGCCTTCTGGCCTTTGGCCCTATTATCTAGGGTCTTTAGGATGATAGTTATGCTATAGACAGATATCCTTAAGATTGCAAAACAAATTTGTAAACCTCTATTCTATCACATGTGTACATGTATACAGCTCATTTAGAATGCTGTGGGGAAAATAACAACTCATTTTAAAAATAGATTTACAGTTTGGGAGTAGCCATAGAGCTGATTCAGAATTGATGCTGAAAGATGACTGTTATAGGTACACACTAAGTAGTGAAAGGGTCTGATTTAAGGGCCCACCGCCCAATTGGACTGATGAGACTAGGTGACGTCTAATAATTTTTTTAAAGTGTTAGGGTTAAAACATTTTTCAGATATTCCTATTGGCATCGAAAATAAAAAAACTGAGTTACTGCCCCATTCTGAGAAAAGGTCACTTCAAATTTACCACTTGTCTCCTTTTTTTTAAGGGCAACCTACTTCTAAGGAAAAGAATCACCTGCGTGTGTTTCTGAAAATCCAGTATGGGGACAGCAGAGTGCAGTGTTAGAGTAAATGAAGCGGTTTCCTTTCATTTGCTAGACACAAACAACCAAAAACGACACGCAAGTGTGTTGATCTGAGTGTTATGTTGGAAGCAGTGGTGCATCTACTAGCTCAGTTGTACCTCCATTGACTGCTCCTGGGTCAGAGTCCAGGGAGTGACTCGAGGTAAAGGAAACAGAGGGGAAGGGCACACCTTAGCGAGTCACTCCTTTAAAGGCCAGCTGGTTCTGTGCTCTTAAGTGGAGGCCATATCTTTATCGATCCTATAATAATTCAGCCTTTTCCTTTTTTTGGTCTTTTTGGCCAGAGGAATGTTAAACGTTGTGGAAACAACTTATCTCATCAGAACAAAATGCTTCTAAAAATCAAAGAATTATAGAATCATAAGGAGGAGTCACTGACTCACTGCTCTGATAAAAGCAGTCATACCATTTCAAGTGTAGTCTTTGTCAGAACCTGCTCTTCTTTCTTGGTACAGAACTTGGTAGGGGGAGACCAGACAGAAATCTTTCTTTTCTCAGCATGGCTTTAGGCACTCACTAATCATGTAAATCAGGCAGGAGTTGTTCCTACAAGAAATTTCAGAGGATTCAAAGTTCTTATGAACCTGAGTTGCTGGTTATGCCCAATATCTTTTTTTTTTTTTTTTTACCCGATACATGGGCCTCTCACTGTTGTGGCCTCTCCCGTTGCGGAGCACTGGCTCCGGACGCGCAGGCTCAGCGGCCATGGCTCACGGGCCCAGCCGCTCCGCAGCATGTGGGATCTTCCTGGACCGGGGCACGAACCCGCGTCCGCCGCATAGGCAGGCGGACTCCCAACCACTGCGCCACCAGGGAAGCCCAACCTCTATTTCTTAACTTATATCTTGTGACATAAAAGGACATCTCTAATTGTGAGAAAAACAAGACTTTGTCCCTAAAAACCTGAGTTGTAAAGAAACATGCAGTATTATTCTCAAGTAACCTGAACTGGGCTAACAAATATTGAGAGGTCCTGGTTTATTGTACACACTTATTTGTAATTATTATTTGGAAATACCACCCTAGACGGAGATGCAGCTGTTAATTTTCCAGATAAATCGTTTTGTATAACCAAAAAAAAAAAATCCTGTGAGTAGGTATATGGCTCTCCCTAAAACATGGACACTGCCCAGGCACACAGGTGATGCTCATGTCCCACCTTCTACGCCATTTCTCGCCTCAGTCTGAAATCCCCACTATTAGGTCACTCTGTTGGATTAGGAAAAAAAAAGGTAAGAACATTATCTTTTAGAAGAGCTCTATTTAAAGGGCAGGATAAGACTCCAGGGTCCAATCAATTTGTTAATATTAGAGCAAAAGAGACCTTGGGTATCATTTACTTCAAAGCCTTTTTCTTTTTTTTAATGGCATACTGGGGCCCAGAAAATGAGTAATTATGGACTAGGTTATAGGAAGTCTCATAGAGTCTGAACCTTAGAGGATACAATTTATGATAGTATTAGTTTCTATCCTGACAGTGGTAGATGGGGGTGCCTGTAGTGAGCCATGGATGAACAAAGGAGATGCTAAAATGGGCTTCACTGGGTGGCAAAGCTGACACATGATTATCATATCCTCCTCTAGGACTTAAAGATTGACCAGAAAACACCTTTACGGGTCCTTCACCGGAGGCCCCTGGCTGTGAGAACTCGCATCATTCACTCCATGGAGGCACACTATGTGGATGAGCACCATTTCCGCCTCTACCTGAAGACTCAGGCAGGAACGTATCCTTTCACCGTCTGTGTAGCACTAATCTAACCAGAATCCTATTGGGAAAGTTCATGCTGCCCTAGAAAAGAGGTTCAACCTTATCTCGGAACAGTTCGGGAAAGGTTTGGGCTGGAGAAGAATCCTTTTTTTGTTTTTTGGTTTTTTTTTTTGGTCTGCAGTGTTTTTACCCATTAAATTTGTGTTTTTCAAGATGACATATTAAACCATGAGGCAGCAGCGAATTCAATGTGAACCTTAAAATTTTTAGTGTCTCACATCATGCTGAGGTGCTGAGGGCATAGTAAGTGCTCAGGGAACACTTTTAATTGATTCATTCATTGATTCATGTCTTTACACATTTTGCAAGTCACATATTCATGACCACATTTGAGTCCTTTCAGCATTTTGAGCATTTGCCCCAAATGATTAAACAGGGATGGTAGATGGGAATGGCCCTACTTTACATGTAGACCATCACATTATTTGGCCACTGGCCCAGAACAAGAGAATAGTCCCAGTTTGATCACTTGTTCATAACTTACCCTGCTTTGTGTGATTTTTTATTATATCTTAGTTGCTGGTTAAAATATATCAGGGAGCTGCCATAGTCTTAGCTTTAGTTTAGTTTTCAAAGGTGCTCCTAGTTTTTGTTTGTTTCTTGGCTTTATAATTATTTTGTGATCCAATAGCATGAAGCATGAAACCTTCTAATTAGTATAAAACTAATGACATACTTATTGGATACAGTAGAGGGAAAAATGTCATTTTAATCACCAAATAGCATTCTCACTATATTGCTATAATTAGTCTGCCTCTCCTTTCCCATCAACCTTCTCTCCCTTCTTCTTTCCCTA